ACATATCATACCAAAATTCATAGATTGCAATTTTCGCATTTTTTCCCTCTATATATGGTGACAATTCACCATTTTCACATTGCCCATAATACACCTTGTTTACCCCCTTCCCCTCAAAAACATTTTGCACAACCAATGTTTCCAATTTCTTCTCCATATTACAGTCATCCCAAGAGAAACTCAAGACAAGCTTACATGTATGCAGGATTTTGGTATTATGGGTAATGTGAAAATGGTGAAAAGAAAGAAACACCAGTTGCCAACACTTTTAACCTCCCATTTAAAATTCAGATTTTGCAAGAGTGCTATTTTTGAGGTACTACACAGATGCCAAGGAAAAATCAGACAATTCTAAAATACTGTATTCATTTTAGTCTTCTGAATCATCATAAATAAATGAATTTGCTAATGTTACATTTACATACCTTGGAAGAGTTGTGACTTGAATTACAAATATAAAAATGAACAGAAGACAAATGCATGCTGTATAGGACTTGAACATTCGATCTTTCTCTTGGGAGTACTAAAAAGGTGAACAAAATAGAGACAACTTATGTTTATGTATATTTTTATTGTTAGTTCCAATACAGTTTTTCAGAGGCCATACCAACACACTTTAAGTTCCTGGTGTTGGCTTTTCAGGAGCAGGTCTAGATCGCGTAAAACTCGGCTTTTATACACTTCAATAAAATTTGTTTATTGTTGTCATAAAAAAACTGCAGTTTCACAAACTTCAATTCATAGTCAATCACTGGTAAAATCGCTTTTAAGGCCATTGAAAAATATCGGTATGGCCTCCGAAAAACTATCGAAACACCTTCAGCAACAGTCATTCATATTCAAGTGGATGTCAAATTTCTGCTGCAACATGCCTTGAAATGAAACCACTCACTTTGCATGTAAAACTAACAGTGTACAGCGGTTTTTAAGACTTGCAAACTGGCTTTTGCAGTGTTAATAGAAGACATTGTGTACTTTCAAAAAATATCCTTACCTCCATTAATTTTCTTTTTTTTTCGGGGGGGGGGGGGTTAACCTACCCAGCCCCACTGGCCTTTAAAATTTGCCAGATGTTTAAAACAGTAATCTTTTCTTACTGCCTGATTCCTATTGTGCAGATGTTTTCAGAAAACATCTCGAAAACACCTCCTGAACAATAACAATTAACGTCTTTAAAGTCAGGTTTTATAGAATACATGCGCCAGTCAAATACAAACACATACAAGATCTTCTTTATCTGGATCTTTGAAAGTGAGGAGCAGTGGCCGCACATAGTCTTTCCGTAGTCTGCAATAACACAAAACATTCTGTCAGTGAAAGAATTTACATAGGGATGCAGAATTGAATAACATTATTATGTTCATGCCAGAGTGGATATGGTTACAGCTACAACAATTTTAGTTAAAGAAAGTGACATTAATATAGGTACTAAATATAGGCTGCGGTGACCAGCCAAGATTGGTATAGAATTTTGGATCCCAACTTCAAGACTTTAATTTCCAGACTTTTTTCAAAAACAATTATTCCTTAAAAATTTCTAGACTCAAGGTTATTAAAAAGGTGATCAACAGAGGCCTTGAAAAGTGCAGGAAGCAAGCTATTCTCATGTTGCTCTTCAAATGTTCAGAAACCATGGTGCAATGAGGACATAAGAGAGTTGTGAAACTTCTCAATCTAAATGTGAATTATTGAATGTGTTGGCTTCAGGTGAGAACATGGGAAAAAAATTCACTAGCTAAAGCACTTGTTGTAGCCCAGGAAAAAACAACCTTGTACCATTTTTCCAGACTTTATCCTTATTAATTTCCCAGACTTTTTCCAGGTCTGGAAAACTGTTTTGCAACTTTCTTCTGCAACTTTTTCGAGAATTCAAGACTCTGTATGAACCCTGGGTAACCTTCTGTGTTGTAGTAGGGGAGATGACTTAGTGACAATCTCTTTCCATCCTCAAGGCAAGAATAGATTTCCAAAAAAAAGAGTCTCTTATCCCAGAGTCTCTTTCCCTTCTAATACTTGTAAGCAGCCCAAAAGACAACTTACTTATCAATACTCCGTGCTTCTATGGAGCTCCCTAAAAATTCATTGACTTCATCCTCTGGATCTTGCTGGTTTGATGCTGTGATTCCTAACCTTTAAAAATAATCATAACATATAAATTATTTCTTACATATTTGTACCCTCAAATTGATGGAAATGTAGCTTTACACATTCCTATATATCTTGTAATCTGAGATACAACTTCACTTTTAATCATTAAAAAAAAACAACTTAACTTCAATAAAAGCTTGATAACATGTTACAAGGCTGCTGCCTAACAGGTGCCTGGTCACCAGAGGCTCCTACGATTTGCTCGCAAGGGGGCAAAAATCCTACACGAGGAGCCTGCACAAATGCCAGAAACTTATGATGCCGATGGCAATAACATCTATGCCTACTTCCACTGAACAAACAAGAGAATTCCCACTCATTTTGTGCTTTTGAAACGAAAACGTAAAACATGTGTTCATCAACTGTAGGCAAAAAATTTCCACTCTTAAAAGTAAGCAAACAAGCACTTTTCTGGAAATTCAAAACTCAATTTGTTGCACAAAACAAGTTTCGAGCATCGGCTTACTTATTTAAGTTTATTGATCGACATCCAATGGGCTCCTAGAAATGTGGCTAGGGCTCCTAACTTTTTATTTTAGGAGCCCAAAGGGCTCCCAAAAAATTTTCTTAAGCAGGAGCCTTGTGTTTTTCAGTAACAAGAGGTTACATACGTAAAAATCAGGTTACAGCTTTATGATCAAACTCATGCAAAGGTGACTATCCCTCAAAGGGCATGTGTCTGATAGAAGACAGGAAATGGAAGGGTTCACACAAAAATTTGCAACCATTTTTTAAGGATTTCTCGGACCACCTACCAGGAATGTATTTTCACTGATTATACAAAAGAGCACATTACCAGTCCATCCTAACAGGAATTTAAGGCTTATGAACATTATTGTAACTGTTTTCTCCACCAACATCTCTACATTTATCAGTTAACCTGTCTTAAAATAATTGATATTTTCTTGCATAAAACAACAAAAGCCTACGTAAATCACCTTTAACTTCTCTGACTTATGATTAATATTCTGTCTTGGGCAACCAAAAAGCATTAAAAAACACTTTCCAGGCCACTACATTCAAAGTTAATGAAAATTCAAGGTCTTTTCAAGGACTCTCCCTAAAATTCAAGGACTTTTCAAGACTGTGCGGACCCTGAATGGGCTACAGAAAATAGGGGTTAAGCTGTGAATATGGCACATCTTCAAATCACCTGTAGGTATCTAGGCATGAAAAAAAGTAAGTTTGGTGGACACGCAAGTGACATGCTGATTATTTCATCTTCATATTTGTTATTTACCATCTTTCATTCTTTCACCATACAGTGCAGGACATGTGTCAAATACGAACCTAGTATATGGCCTTGTTCGCCATGAGTTCTCCATAGCTCACTGGATAGAGCGCCTGCCCAGTGTTTGGGAGGTCATAGGTTCGAATCCTGTTGGGGACTCAGATTTTTTCTTTGTCCCTGAACTTGTGACATGCTGATTATTTCATCTTCACAAAAGTGAGTTTACACAAAAGGATGGCAGAATGAGGAGGACAGCAAAACATTTGTGGGTGACAAACGCAACAGGCCTATTATGTGCATGTTTTGTGGTGATCTTCCCTTAACATTGGTGTTTTCTTGTCTTTTACAAAGAGATCTCTTGAAAGGAAAGTGAAGTCTGGTGGAAAATATTTCCAAACATAATTATTGCTTGTCACACAAGGTTTACCATCCTCTTCTTCCTGCTGTCCTAATACATAAGTACTTTAAAGATGGTAGACAAGTACCAGGTATTGAGGTGCAAATACCTGGTAGTACTAGATGAAATGAGAAATTGATAAACTTACCTATCTTGCATTTTCTTTTCTTGATCCTCCTGTTTATTATCTTTAATAGTCGTATCCTTTGGCTGAAAAATTCATGTAATAACATTATCAGATTATATAATTCCTGAACAAAGGTGGCATATTTGTGTTGATTTCTCTGGGAACAAGTGAGTCAATAATAATGGAACTATTAGAGGTTCCTCTTTTTGGTACCATTACTGTATTGTACATAATGAATACCAGACATAAGAGAATTTTTTTAAGAATTAAGGATAGCACTGATGTGTTTAAACCTGTGGTTAATATATTTTACTGTAAACCTGCTATCTCTGTAGGTTGATGCATGTTCAGCATGAAAAAGAAAACATTTCTGTGCAAAAATGATGCATACTGGGCCACAATACAAACGCTAACTTTTTTCTAATGATTTGGATCACCATTTAATGCACAACACCTCAGTTTGTATTACAAACTATCCTTCAACACAAAGGTTTACATTAAATAATGTCCCGAGGTCCAGCTTTCATTTAATTTCGAGGAATGTTGGACCTTCCCCCCCCCCCCCCCCCCCCCCCCCGCCCGCCCTCCCTCCCCCCCCTCCCCCCGAAAAAAAAAAAAAATTTTTCCTCCTTTTTTGAACAAAAAACCTATTTTTACCCCCACCTCCATATATTTTTTTATAAATTTTTAAAAAACAAAAAAAAAACATTCTCATCGACCACATTAAATTTCATTCCACAATGTAATTGACTACACCACAATATGGAATTTTTCTTCACAGAGCTGAGCTTCTTACCTTCTGCTCACACAAAAATGTGTACAATGTGAATTGAAGAAACATGAAACAGAATACAAGAGAAAGAAAAATTTTCATTCAACCTACTATAAACTCAAATTTGTTAAACACATTAATTTTAAATTTTAATTAAGCCATGACATCATTCACTAAATATAAGGCTAACATTAATATCTATGTACGCTAGGGGTATCTTGACTGATGAGAAGTAAGTTCAGTCAAGGATTTAAAAGCAAGCTCGAGGTAATAAATCAGTTGAATATTGGCTAATCCTGACTTTTACACTGTACTCTTGATCTGATCAAAGTGCTAAAATGTGTGCTAGTTTTGTCATTTTCATTTTTTCAATGGGGTAGTTGAAAAGAAATGCCTCTGAACTAAACAAATTTGAGAAAAAAAAACTCAAGCAAAGACTATTGATTGTTTTCCAGTCATTAAAATACTGCACTTCAAAATCTGAGGCCGTTTGAACAAATTCTCTATGAGTTCAAGCCCTTGAAAGTGTACAGACAAAATAGTGTCAGAAAACAAATAATTCTTAACTCCTACTTCCCATCAAAATGTAAAACATCATTTCCCAGTAATTATTCACTAATTTTGAGTAGTTTCCCTCACATGAAAGACCATACTTGGACATCTACTTTAACAAAGAAAGGAATAAAAGTTGAAGAAAATTTTTGACTTGAAGGTACCCCATAAACTTAATAAACCAAATTACGTTACACAAACCCTTAAGAAAAATTGTTGAAAGTAATGTGAGTGGCTAAAGTACTCAAGTATGAGACAGCTCTGATGTGGTAACAGCAACATCAGTGCCACAATTACTGGTAAAAAAATTAATATGAAAATGTCAACCAATGCGTTTTTCTCACCTTCTGTGAATTCCAAACAACATGTTCAACATATTCACAGGAAAAAAAAATGGACAAAAAAGCCAATGAGATCTCAACAAGTTATCAATAATTATTACACAACCTACTGCACTACATCCCAGATAGCAAAGATGAGTTTATGGAGGTATTCATGGAAAGAAGCTGTTAACATTCTATGCAATTTTGAGTGTAATTCAACCAACAAATTATTATAAAATTCTGTGCCACTCATAACACCATTCATGCCTCACTGTTATTTTTTCTTTGATCATTATTGTGTGTGAAAAAAAAAAACTAAAATGGGAGAAGGTGAACTTTCTCCGGGATTTCATACACTAACACTTTTCTGTTTAACAGCCAAATGCACTTATTTACATTAACTATTGGATAATCATTAAAATGGATGTGATAATTGTTTTTGCCTTGCAGTTAACAGTATTGGAACAAAGTAAGACGTGTTAGAAAAAGTCATTAGAATCCAAAACACTTGAAAGGATTGAGAGAAGTCTTCGTTTACTTTTATTTTTAAAGCATAAGCCTGTAAATTTCCATTATTTTTGAAACCTTTGGGGCCAAATATTTAAACGTAGTTTAGCCAGCGTTTAACAAAACCGCGTTCTAAGTCATTTTCAATTTGCCCAACAATTTTATCTAAACATCATTTATTGTGAACAGTTTTATGAAAGCATATGGAGAAGACTAGAAAAGCATTTTATCTTCTTAAAACAACCCACCAAAGAAGAGATCTGGAGGGTCAAAGATTCATTAAACCGCAGTTTAAGTTAGACTTTGTTTAAATATTTGGCCCATAAAGTTTTAAGTTTTTAATCAAGACAACCCATTGGAACACCTTCAAAGCCGTTAAAAATTTTCGCTCCCAGGGTTCAAAGTGTTTACCAAACCCTTGAAAGGGTGTTCACTATCCATTCATTAGCCATCAGTTTTTTTACCTTTTTTTTAGGGACAACATTGGAAATCATAGATGACACAAATAACACCTTTCACTTATTAAAGGTATTAGATCTGCTATAAGCCATTCCATTTGAAAAAAATATTTCTCAAATAATAGAGAATTTTGGAAAATGAAAAATTACACAGACCTATCAAGCGAGAGCCGAGCTTTCAGAAAATTGATATCTGAGGTGTCAATTTTCACACCTAAGGTGTTATTTCCGATTTTTATCGCAGGCTCAGATATTGATATCTAGGAAATATATATCTAGAAACTAGATATCTAGAAACTGACTTATAATTAGATTGTTCATTTACCTTTAAATTCGCAGCAGTAGCCAGTAAATTTTTCCCGAAATAATAGAGGTGGAATTTATTTGCAATGCCCTACAACTTCAGTCTGCCGCCAAAATTCCAAAATATTCCGACCAATTGCCAGGAATTTAATACATTTTTCCTTGACATCATGTGACTAAACTTGGCAAGTTTCAGTGCGATATTGTAAATCGTCATATTTTTACATCAATTTGTTTTCAGTGCGGTCCAACGCAGCCGCAAAATTGCCTTTAATTCGCCCTCAATTTTCGTCACGCTGCACTGTTTTCTTTGTTGCCAGCTTGAATTCTTACGAGCAAACCACTATTCTTAATGTTTGTTGTGACACTGACCCAATAAATTATTGTAGCATCAAAAGTGGCAAGAAAATGCGAAAATCTTTGTTTGAACTTGTTATGCAATGTGCTTTCAATATGGCGTTGTAAACAACGTTTTAGCCTTAGCAACGAGCCAATTTGCATAATAGGTCATTTAACTACGGCCTTATCTGTCATCGACCTTGCAAGGATCATATATCTAATGTGTCTCTAGAAGTCTTTTTACGGCAATAGAAATGATTTAGAAATATCAAAACAATCGTACTTTATTTTGGGAAGCAGAATCTAAGAGAATTTTGGCTTTCACTTTCTCGGCTTCTATTTAACGAAAATATTTCATCTTTGAAATTTGAGTTCAGGTTAAGAGTACATTTCAAATAAGCGATTTTATAAGCATGATCATATTTTGACTTTATAGCAGTTCCAATACCTCAAGTGAAGTTTATTTGAAGTTGAATTTAGCCACATTAGATTTCTCTCAGTTGGTAATGTTCTCAATTTTTGACTCTGGGGGTAAAAGCAGTTTTATTCATTTACAGTACATGTATGAAAACTTCACTTACGTTTAAACAGAAGAAACTATAGAAGGATAAAAACTCACCCTTGGGTGCTCAGCAACTATTAAGTACGAATTAATGTTGTACTGCTTCAGATATGAATCACGCTCCTGACCACGCCCTTCCTCAACTTCATAATCACCATTCAAACAGTTAAGAACAGATGTTGTTATGTGTACACGCCTGAAATGAAGTACACGTATGTAGTACAAGAGTGAATCAAAAATGCTGACAACCAGAACCCTAATGAACCTTCCATCAACTACAAAAAAAAAAGACAAGATGAAAAATAAAATTTAAAGGATTTAAAGCTTAATTTGACATGTTGAATCCAGAGCATTAATATGCATGAATGCTAAATTGAGCTCTTAATAACAAAAGCACCTTTAGTTAACTACTTTACGACTTAAAAGGTTTATTTCAGTCCTAAGCTCATAAGATTATTTTTGTTAACTACACAAAAATCAAAGATACCCTGGAAGTCCTCCTGACTCCATATGATTGGCAGTTGTCACATCATCAGACCACACATCATACTGCCACTTGACTAATCCCAGCACTCCACTGTGAACCTTTCCCATGTGTACGCCAACCCTCATGTTCAAATTAACACCTGTTGCTTCACGCACACTCCTGTAAAAAAAAACAACATAATTTTACAAAAAAGCTTCAGAACCACAAACAAAGGTCAGTCACAAACAAAAGTCAGGGCCACAAACCAGCGATTTCCCCCCACTAATATGAGCAAGACCCTTTGCTAACTTTTATGGGAAACAAAAGAACGACAGAAACAGAACCGAAAGAACTTCCCACTGTAGCTGTTCAATTCTCTGCCTACTAATTGCACATACCCAGCAACTTGAAATCTTGGTGACTGCCCTGAAAATATACAGTAATAAGTATGCCTGACCACACAGTTTACTCACGCAATAGCATCAATCATTTCCAAGCCCATCTCAATGCAACAGTGAGCATGATCAGGACGCGGATCTGGCAACCCTGATACACAGTAGTAACAATCGCCCAAAATCTTAATACGTAGACAGTGGTTCTCCTAAATAAAAAGATAGACATTTATAATATTAAGAACTTGAACAAAAATCTGTCCTTGTACATACTGGCTGTACAATAGCTACCAGCGTGTATTGTTAGCGTTTATTCATAAATGGACCCATGGCTTCAAAAACAACCTTGACAATACATGTAGCTGTAAGCCTCATTTTCCAAGGACAATACATTAGAACAATTTTGGTTTAAAGGGACTGGTTCACGATAATGCGCATGTGTTAGTTCTGACAGCAGCTGATTGTTTTTCAACCAATCGGAAGCGAGTTAAATGCACGCAAGTAAATTTACAAAATTCAAATTAATTGTTCGCGACGCGAGAGTATTTCCGGGCATTTGGTTTGATTTTATTTATCCCCATAATTCAAGTTTATTCTTTGCTACTCCTCAGATATATGTTGAAGCCGATAAGAATAAAATTTACAGCCCTGTCCTGCTTTGAAACAAACATTTACCAACGTGTATTTTTACGAGGTCGTATCCACGCTAACTAAGCGGTCACCGATCGGCAAACAAAATTTGTAAACAAACATCTTATTACTGTTCTCTCAGTTCGCCTTATATAAGCCCAGAAATACCTACAAATAGCGCTTGACCGGTGACAAAAGCACACAACATATGAGTACAAAGATTATCCTTAACTGAGCATAAATTTCAATTGCTTATTAGCAAATGAACAAATTCATTCGCGTTGCATCGGGTCAGTGTTCCGCAAAACAAATGTTATCGAGTAGCACACATAAAGAAACTAGATTATAAACAGAATATTCAGGCAATAATTTATTTTAAAAACATCAATTCTTAAACATATACGATGGTAAAGCAAAGATACAAGGAACATTTCAAGTGTACCAGATCGGTGAAGATCGCGCGGCCTGTTGCGGTATAACTACAGGTCGGAGTCAAAAATCAAATCAAAGTTGAACGAAATCATGCCTTTAACCACTTTCCAAGTGTCCTGTATTCTTTTCGTAAGCCACACACTACTCCTAGAACCATACCAGATCGATAGGCTAAACTTCTCTATCTCCAAAGACTCTTGAGAACGTCCTGTTGCCGGACGGCCACGATGCTCTTTTGAACCTCATGATCAAAACATTATTTTTTGCGTCTTCTTAAAACGTAACCAGTCAAACGACACAACCACACGTTAATCACCACTACCGAAGTATAACTAGACCAGCCAAAGCGACGGATGTGCGAATAAAACGAAGGATTTTCAAAGATTGTACCGGTAATGGCAATTTCGAATTTAGTGTTGACCCAACAAATTTATTCTGAAGAGAAAAACGGCGCGCATGCGCATTATCGTGAACCAGTCCCTTTAACCTTGAAATCACTATGCATGGTTTAGGAAGCACGCAATGTATTCCCACAGCTAAAGAAAAATGGCTGAAAAATAATTTTCCATAACTTTGGGAACAGAAACTGGGCAGCTGATTTGACAGTTGAACAATGGATTTGCTTTTCATGTTAGGGTTTCCTTAGTCAGGAAAAAGAACAAGCCCACATTTTGATCTTTCAGAAACCACTTTTTGAGGTTATAATAAGATTGCTAAATTCTGGGACAAATTTGAAACAATATTAATCCATTCCTTGACTAATGTAAGGTGTGATTATTCATCACTATTAACTCTTTAGATGAAATCCCGTGGTGTTACCATTCAAATCAAACACCGCTGGGACATTTTTGCAAAGTAAAATTTATTTCTTAGGATTATTACAAAAAGGAATTTTGTAATATTTTTTCTTGGCCACTATTAAGACTAAAGAGTCAAGTAACATAGTATTCAAAATTGCATGTTAATTGTGTGATGTGAATTTTGCTCATTATGAATTTGATTTAACATTTGTTAATCCCTTTCTCAACATTGCGGTTCAATTTATCCTTGGTTTAATTATATTTTGCATTATTTCAAACTCAGCATCATTTGTCACAACCATAGCATGTCCAAAGCAACAGAAGATAAAATTTAAACTGAGGGTAAAACTGAACAACAATGCTAACAAATGAAGATATTAGGGCCATTTATACGAGGAAAAATAAGACGCATCTTACAAAAGACGCGTCTTAGTTAAGACGCGAACTGGACCATTTATACGAGTATGTCTCATCTAAGACGAGAACAGCTCGTATAAATGGTTCGCGTCTTATTTCTGTTCTTAACTCGTTTTCACGTGAATGTTGCCTGTAGCAAGGGCAATCCAGGGTGGCGCGCCAAAAATTAACGCATACATACTATGCGTTCGCGTCTTATGTAAGACGCGAAGGTCATTTATACGAAGTTTTTCTCGTCTTAGCTAAGNTCTGTTCTTAACTCGTTTTCACGTGAATGTTGCCTGTAGCAAGGGCAATCCAGGGTGGCGCGCCAAAAATTAACGCATACATACTATGCGTTCGCGTCTTATGTAAGACGCGAAGGTCATTTATACGAAGTTTTTCTCGTCTTAGCTAAGACGCGTCTTATCTAAGAACAGGTGTTAAGGTCTGTTCTAAAATAAGACGCGTCTTAGCTAAGTCACGTCTTATTTTAGACGAAATGTGCCGTTTATACGAAAAGTTTGCGTCTTATTTAAGACGCGTCCTATGTAAGACGCGTCTTATTTTTCCTCATATAAATGGCCCTAATGATACCTTAAAGTATCAACTAAGAGAGTAACATTGCTTGGGACCACTTCACTCCATTAATTGCTCCCTTGCTCAGTTATTTTATTATTCGTATGTCAATGTAACTAAGTGAAAGCATCTAAATAAATAAATAAATAAATAAAAAGAATGTTAAATAAAAAACAAAAACATACCACAGCAAGTGTGTCAAAACTGGCAAATAATTCATTCAGATACTGAACAAGCTGCTGAGCAGTGCACTGAGATGAAAGCATTGTAAATCCTTCAATATCAGCAAACAAAATACTGAAAACAGAGAACAGAAAACAGAGAGATAATGAGGGATGTAGCTAAAGTATAAGGCAAACTAACAGCCAGGAGGGAATTTCACTGCCTGAAAGAGGGCTTACCTATGGCTCAAATTTCCTGGGACACAAAGACGCTGGCACAATTTTGAAGAACCAGTTAAAAATATAACCAGCTTGTCTAATCAATAAGCTTGATTCACTGATAAATACAGTCTTGAAGTTTTTGAAGATAAAACAATCAAAAGCAAATTGTGTGTAAATGGAAAGAAGAATTGAATTGGAATTGAATAACATTGAGATATAGTGGTGCTTTAACTCTTTAGAAAACAATCACTGTCTTATGACTATTATTCACAGAGATGAACAGCAGATTTACTTATTAATAAGTACATGTAATATGACTACAATTACAAACCTGACATTCTCGTGTCTCTTGATGTAAATCTTGTGAAACTGCAAAGTATCTGTTCTACTACTTTCTATGTCTGCCTTCATCTCCATGGCAACATATCTTGGCAAAACTGAAAGCAGCAGACGTTCCTAAAATAAAGAGAAAAAAATCAAGTTTCAACTTCCAACCTTATTCAGAACATGGCTGGTTGTAACAGTATAAGAGTCAACAATGCCTTTTTTATCATTAAAAGCTCACAGAGCTTCATGTTCAGGGCTTGGAATAATTTCCTGGATGGTGCCAGTCATGTTGTCCAGTCAAACCTATTTTTGCTCAGACACAACCCGTTTTGGGCCAGACAAATGTCTTTCATCTAGGATTATCCGATTGCACTTTACAGTAAAATGCATGTGGACTGTATAATAATACTTTACAACACTACGCACCATACTCCTGAGTTTAGGGTGACGACTTTATAGAGGATGAAGTAATAACTTGCTACTCCCGGAAAATGAAAAACCATGGTTACTGTTCGGCCGCACGGGGCTTCTGAAATTTTGCATGGTCGCAGAGCCGCAAAATTCACAAAAACACACGAAATACCTTGCAATTCGGTAGGAGTCTTACCAAATACATGTCAGTCCAACATATTTGAGACTTATCTCGGCTAACAGAGCTGTTTTTTGCCGTAAACTTGCAAAGTTATCTTGAAACTTCGTCACTATAACGAGAAAATGTCCCAAAACTACCAGGTCTTCTTAGATTATGCATCAATCAGCAGCTTCCCCCAGGGGGGCACCCATGGGAACCCAAGGGCATTTGTCAAGATTGTAAGATATTTGTTGCCTGAGGGTGTGGGAGAAAATATCACTTTTGTTCATAGAGATTGCACCCCAGGGGGCAGACCCTGAGGATTTGATGGTCAGCGGTATACACTACTGATGATTCCCGGATGTTGTTTCATGCATTCACTTTGCGTCCTTGTTGCTTTAAGTGCAAGGATCTGTAGGAGATTATACCATGAGAATCCTGCAGAGTTCCTTCTAGTTTTAAAAATTAGTGGTCCATGCATGGGAACTCCAGCCACCTAAAATTGAGGGTCCTTTTCTATTTTTAGGAGTCCAATCCTGGGTAGTACCCAATTCACCAAATTTCATGTGCATCCCAGGGACTAACAGCGCTCAAAACCATATGCCTTTTCTCCATTTTTAGAAAGAAAAAGAAAAGAAAGAGAGAAACTTTATTGACCAAGGGTAAACTACATTATTATCGGTAACCAAGTAGTTTACATAACGGCCCTCAAAACCTTAAAAGAGAGGGGAAAAAAAATTATACAATACAACTATTTGGTCAAGTGGGGCCAACTGCCATGAAATACAACAAACTTTAAATGGAGGGTCTAAGCAAAGCAAACGGCTAGTTTTTGCGCGTAAAATTCATACGTTGAAGGGTCCCTATCGTTGCATCCAGGGGGCAGGGGATTTGTCAGAATTCCTCAGGGGGATTTGATGAGGTTTGAATGGGCATTTGGACAAATCCCCCAGGGTTCCCAGGGGTGGCCCCCAGGGGGAAGCCGCTGATTGATGCATTATTATTGCAAAAAACTGGGAACTGGCCAGTGCACGACATAAAAAGCTTTGCCATTGGCACATTTCTGAGCTGATTGTTGTTAAAAGAGCAAATGATGATCTCTAAAAAATATATATATATCTGTGTGAGCGAATATGAGATCGCAAAGCAAGCCGGAGTTTTGAGCAAAAAATCAACGGGTTTAAAAGCCAACATTTACAAGTAGTTGGTGTTTCTGTTGTTGTTATTCCTGCACAGGCTAACACTCATCATTTCCCCCCTCCCCCAAAATTGGCAAAATTTCCGTCTTATTTCAGTACAAACGTTCGTGAAATCAGCACAATACCGATCTCTTTTACGCGACCTACCCTGGTTATGAACGGTTTACGTAATAAAAGTTCTTGATCTGGTCTCCTTTTTCTCTCTCTCCCCCAACTTTTTTTCCTTCAAGATCACCAACAATGTCCAATCTTGACCAATCATATATTTAAAAAAGTGAAGGTCTGAATTACATTAGAAGCATAAAAGAGTGGACAAGATGTCCGGTCAGTCAAGGATTTGACCGGACAAAGCCTTTTTTTGACCACACATTCTCCACTGACTGGCCGTTATTTGAAGCTCTGATGTTCCTTTCCTCTTTAGTTAAATTTGCCCAAAGTAATGGCCCCAAGAACCTAATCAAGCACTTCCCATTATTACAGTAACTCTATTGTACTTAAAAAAAGCCTGAAATCAGAGATTTTAAATTTTCTATCCTTGTCGCAGTTGACTTGAAATAAATCTCTAAATATACTTTAGTGTAATTTCAAAGTATCCACGGTAGGACTAGTTTAGTCAATTTTGCAGATTTGAACTCTGGGGCCGGACCAATACTCAGGGTCTTAAAATAATAGAGAAATGAAGGTACACTGCAATGATTGAAGGTTCTGCCTTTGCCCTGCAAACAGCAACACTGAAGACCTTCAATAATAATAAAAACAACAACACCTATGGGTCTGGGCCCAGGTTTTGTCTACACCCACCTTTTTCAAAACAATAACTCTTACAATCTAATAGAAGTCATGTACCTGATTTTGATTTTCTTTCATTATTGTCAATCTTGATTCTATGCATCTCCTAGTTTCAAGGAAAGCTCTGCGCTGTGAAATTTCAGTAGGATACTTTGTAAAAACTCCTGTGATGTTGGCACATATGAATATAAACAGGTTACCAAGCAGCTGTAAAGTGAAACACATCAAGCAAACAGAAACATCATTCACTTTATAACAGGCAAACAAATCACTGATAATACTAAAGTTAATTACAGAATTATGAACATGCAGCTGGTTAAATAAACAAATATACAGCTACATTCAAACCATGGGAAAATGTTTTTTCCAGTTCTGGGAATTTTTTTTCTTTCTGTTGCTGTCACTTTCCTTTTATCACCCCCTTCATCTGAAACCAAATTGTGAGATAGGGACACTTGGATCCAGTCTCAGCTGAGTGTAGCTTCATCCCATGCATTTTGCTTTGTTCTTTTTCCCCTTCTGTATACATTGATTTTTCCCTTTCATTATTTAATGCATTACGTATACTTTGCATAACTTGTTTTTGTAACTAATACCAATAACTACCACTTATAAGTCCCCCCAAGTTATATGCCCTCCCAGTATAGGTCCATCTACCAGCAAACAAAAAATCCAAAAATACATCCGATTATACCCCCCCCCCCCCCCCCCCCCCCCCCACCCCCCCCCCCCCACCCCCACAACAAATACTTTTATTTTTTTAAAATTATTTTTTTAACATTAAAAAAAACAAAACAAAACATAAAATATCTTTCATTATTTAAGTCATTACCTATACTTTTCATAACTTGTTTTTTTAAATAAAACCAATAACCACCCCTTATAAGTCCCCCCCAATTATATGCCCCCCCCGTATAGGTCCCACCACCAGCAAACAAAAAATCCAAAAATGCCTCCGATTATACCCCCCCCCCCCCCCTGGATATAAGCCCCACCCTTGCATGTCTTGAAATGAATTTAATTTATTATGACATTTTGAAGCTTCAGTAAAAACCAGTAAACACAAAATGCAATTTGATCACCACTGCTAGCTTGTTTCAGTGCGCTTTATATTATATAAACCCCTCCATTTATAAGCCCTTTTCACTATATGCATGTACATTTTAAGTATCCTCCATCAACAACAGTTTGCCATCTTCCCCCTTTAAATTGTACCACACTTCTGTCAGTAGTAAATTCATGTTTTGCAGTTGACAAAGAAATTTGCCTTCATAATTCTGGTGGTCAACATGTCTTTCACTAGCCAAAAATGAAAATTCATTGGTGTCATGATTTATTATTCAACTTCACTCAGTAGAGTACAAATAACAACCAAAACGAGTTCAAATATCTCACGTATTTGTACTCCGGTAGACCAGTTTCACCGGTTTTCTACTCACGTTGCACATGGCAGAAAATGCATTGTTTCCCGAAATTGTAAGGTTAAATAAAACCGTGTTTCAACAATTTATTACAAATAGTCAGAAAATAGAAACATTATAAGTTCAAAATACAACAGAGAAGATCAAAACAGACCTGAACATGTGCGTGAGATGCATGGCGACAAAAATTATCGGTGACACAAACAACGTTGATTAAGAGTGACGGTCAGGAAATATTAACCATCGAGTGGCAGGAGTTGAAAAATCGATTTCCTTCATTTTTTGTCCGCAAATAGCTTTTAGGTAGATCAGTAATCTGATCTAAGTTGTTCGTGCAAAAAGCCTTTTATTTGCGAGAAAAGTAAGAATATCAGTTTTTGTGGTCTGAGTCTCGAAATGGCCATATTTTCAACCCAAAATTTGTGATTTAAATAGCATTAAGAGAATTTGGAGTTATACCACATGTTAAATATTGCCGTTGAAAATGAGTAACAAACTTAAGTTTTTGTTATCCTGAAAACCTATCCCTCATTTTTGAATTATTTCAGTATGATGAGCTTTGCTATTGCCCTGAAGGTATCTTTAAGTGGAAGAAAAAGAATTTTTCTCTTCATGGAAAGTGACCAAATTTCTCCATGCAGCTTCGTTTGCGAACACGAGGAAAGTTGATGTTAGTGAATTTGAGGTTAAAAATTAGGGCAGTCTGAGACTCTGACATTGAAAACCAATCTTCTAATTTTTCTAACAAAAAAAAAACGCTTTTGGCAGGAAAAATCTACGTTAGGTTTCTTATCTCCCTAAAAGAACATAAAATGAAAAAAATTGATTTTTCAACTCTTGCCACAAAATTAAGATTTTAGTCAATTTTTCCTGACCGTCGCTCTTAAATACAATCCCGGCCAAGGAGCTTAACATTCTTCACTACTAGTCCTTTTAAAATGTGAGGAAACTCGATAAAGAAGACTCTAGACATTCTCTAAAGACTTAATGTTAGTACTAATCCTGGAGAAGATGAGGTTTCAAGTCTGTTGTTTACGAGTAGCTCTTTAACTCCTTCAATTCATCGGAGATTTTTCATCTTTCCATCACAATTGGCTCTGCTCAGTTTACCTTCCTGCAGTTGGTTAAATTAAATTAATGATAAGAACCGGAAGACCAACTTAAGCCTCACAATTATTTGTCATTCCATCTCTGTTTTCCTGGCAAATGTTTGAAAGATAACACCCCAAAGCTCCCCCGAAGTGCCAAACAAAAACCGAGAAATCCCACAACATTTTATTTTGAGTAAACTAGTTTGACCAGTTTTCATTTTAGACCAATCAGCAATAACGTTTCATAAAGCACACGAAAACTGGACTTGCAACGGAGTCACGTTAATCTGTCACACATTCTCATTTTACATATTTACTGAGTTCTATTTTAAAACATCTCGAGTTGAATTATAAATCTCTTATTGGATGGTTTAGTGTGTAGTATCAGGGGATAATTATATTCATCTCTTGTATTTTGACTCGCCCTACGGGCTCGCCAAAATAACTCGTAAAAATGTCCCACAATACTACACACTAAACTGTCCAATAAGATATATGTATTTCAAGAGTTAACCACCACCAACGTCAAACCCTGAAACAAGATTGACTCAGAATTTCCTTTGTTTTTTAGGGCCAGATTATTCATTATCATGGGAGACAAAGAAAATTAAAATTGTGGTTGAATATAACTTGGGAATGGATTTTAGTTGGATCATATACACCTAATAAGCAAAGTTCTGCGCAAGAACATCCAGATGAATGTATCTTCAGCATGAAACAGCCATGAGACTAGCGTATTTTAGAGTGCACTGAGAAAAATCTAAATTAGGCAAAGCTATATTGCACCAAGTTCTGACGTTTTGTAAGCTGTTTGCATTTGCAGCAAAGATGTTTTTCTCACCCACAGCTACGTAGTAACCAGTAAGCAAATCAAATATTCTATGATAAAAAGATTTAACAGACAACTTCCTTAAAAATATTCTTAACCAGCCAGTAAGAAACAGGAAATCTGACAGTTGCCAAAAGCGTAATCCACGATCCCAGCTAATGTGGATATCACTTAACAAAAATTATAGTGCCATTTTCATGGACTGCATGTTTCCAAGTAATGATAACAACCGATCTAGCAAGTGAGTGCAGTATTGAAAAACAAGGCAAAATTTTTTCGAACATTAACCAGCTGTTCATTGTAATTAAGAATTTCAGCATAAAATTTCACCTGCATATTTAGAAAATATGAAATGTTAGAAATACCCCTTCTCCTGGTGACACACAGATTAAATCCGCACTGGAAATGTCACAAGAAATAACAGCACGGGATTCGTAATTCGTGTTTGGTTTTAATCGATCGAGGCGGCTATAACTTTTTACGGTAAGTAGGCACTTCCCACAATACGGAGGAGCAATACGTTTTTCCTTACAATGCAAATAAGGGATATAAATAATTTACTACTTGAAGAAAACTGATGAAGCCCTAGAAATCATGATACAGAAGGCAAAAATAAGTTTAAAGAAAAATAAATATGCACTTACCAATCTTACAAGATTAGAGTCCTTATTATTCATCGCCGCGCTAGATATAAGGTGGATGGCAGGAAGCACACAACCTCCAAACACAGCAATTCTCATTCTAACCGGTAGCATTGTATAAGTCATGTACACGAAAAACGTCGTTAGCCATACACCATCTGAAGGGGAATAAACGCTTTCTTCATTGTTTGGATCCACAATTTCAGACGGTGGACAAACCACCGAAGCAAGAACAAATCCGCAGGAAATCGCCAACAAAATATAAGAGACCCAGTTCAAATGGCCGCTCTGAGAAGAACCACTTCTGTTAACAATCAGTGCCAGTAAAATGTAAGCAACCGCGAAAATACACAAAGTTATGCCTTCGGCATTAGATTGCGGTGGATTGTCTTTTTCCATGGCGAATTGCAATGGTATCAAAATAAAAGTTAAAATAAGCAGCACAACAATGAGCCAGCTCATAAATTTTTGGTTCAGGCGAAATACGTAACGTTGATAGAGGCCCTCGAGCTTTTCCGACTCGAATCGCTTGGACTTGAAAACCCGCGTGAATAAAGTCCAGTCTCCGCAACAAGAATCCTCACAGATATTCTCACCCTTCAAATTTTCGAGATCTTTCATTTGGGATTGCTTTCCATTTTTTAATCTAACGTCTGGAAAACCGTTCCTGACATTATCCTTCTGGACAATTTCAGTTTTGATCGTTCTGATGTTCGCGTTTTCTTCGACACCAACTTCCACAGAACGAAGTCGAACATCGGCCGATCCTGGAGATCCATTGCTTTCCATACTTGTCAATGTCTTTTGCCCTTCACTTACGGTCCTCTTCGGCGTTGCAGGATGATTTTTTTCCTTTACATTCTTGTTCAGGTCGCCCTGCGAAACGTTTGTCTGCGGTTTCTCTTCTGTTTCCTCCCAAGCTCTTCTTGACGGCGTCGAAGATCTTCTGTTGAAAGTAGCAACGTCTGATTGAGCCGACATGTTCATTAAGTAAATAACAAATCCTGGGTCAGAGTTAACGTTTCACGGGAAACTAATCTCCCCCCTTTCATCGAAATTCGTATTAAATATGTCCAAGAAATTACTGAGGAGCGTAGCAACCAGTTTATCGAGCCCACGGGTCACCATAACAAGTGAACAACTTCTGGCCATGCTGCGCCTTTTTGAGTTACAATGAAATACATTTGTTTTAAAGTTGGTCGATACATGAGTTATTCCCTCCTTTTTTACCCTGCATCAATGTCTGTATATATTATCGGAGCAGTAAAATTCTTTTGAAACTGGACAAGCAGCGTCTTCGAGCATAGAAAAGATAAAATAATTGTTTTGTTCACGTGACCAGTTCACTGATTTCAAAAACTCCTCTGATTGGTCAGATCGGAACGTGAATGGAAAGTTTGGTAAACATCCTAGTGCGTTGAAAAGGTCCGTTACCGAGAAGCAACAACTAAATGATCCTAAATGAATATTTGGGGGATAAAACCTTGTTTAGAAAGCTACACGTGTTAATAAAGTAATATCGATGCTTCTTTTCAGCTAACTTCCGAGAAGGTAACCTCTTTGGACCCGCTGAAGGGTTCTCCCTCTTAAGTCATCTACATGGGGAGGCCTCACCCGAAAAGGGAATACCTTTTTCCAGCCTTCAAGTCTGTAAAACGGCAAGGGAAGAGATAGTAAATAAAGGATATTTGAAAGACGTTGCAATAGCCAGCGTAGATAATCGCGCTTTTATCACCATACTCACTGATGAAAAACGGAAATTTAATCAAGTCTCTCGCATGAAAACGGTTTGGGAGACACCGGGAAAGCGGTTAATTTGAAAACCTGTGGTTGCCTCTATCCTGAGAGCAGGCTCTCCCGGGTGAGCTTGCTCGCAAGCTATGAGTGCCTCTAAAAAACTGCATGCTGCTAGCTATACCTCTGACGAATTAAGTTTGTTTTTAGAGGCGTTTATTAAGGGCCAGCGCGCGACACAACAGGGACCGCGGAGCAAGGTGAAAAGTGGGAGGGCTGACAATTGAAAATATTTTTTTCATATTGAAAATCGAAAAAAGGAATAAAATCATAGTATTTGATTTGTTTCTGTCGCGTGACTCTGCATACTTTATCCAGTATTTGTTGCTCTTTATAGGTCGGCATTCTTGACGACATCTCGTTTATCTCGCGCGAGTATCAGCGAGATCTCGTATGTATTTATGTATAGTATAGAAAATACTACACTTAAGTGATCTAAAAAATTTCTAACTATGGCCGTTCACTGTTCAAGTAATGTAATTCTTCTTGCCATCGAATATTTCCTTGATTCGAAAGGAGAAAGACAAAATATAAAACTTTTATCAACTCAAAACAACTACTCAGCCTCGTTTGGCTTGAAAAAGCTAGTAATTTTCTTCATTTCGTCTGATAAAACTGATAAAAAACACTCTGCCGGAGCTGGAAGTACAAAACACGCTGCCGAACGAAGCGAAGGGGTGGCCAAGGTATGGCGTTTGGTCAAGGGGCAAGTCGGCCCCGGGGCACAATTACCGCGAAAAGCACAGGAGCCCCACAAAATGCCTGGCGTTTGAAATTAAAGAAAATACAGAGAATATATCGGAATATAGACGGAAAAAACTTGTTTCAAGCCTTTTTTTATTTTAACTATTTTTCTTTTTATCGCAAAAAGTGGGGGCGGGGACGCAAAAAAGTGGCGGGGCCGCGGCCCTACCAGCCCCTCCCCCTCCGCGGTCCCTGCACAAGGGAAGGATTTCATCTTTTTACGAGCTCAACCACTCTGGAAGCGCTTTAGCGAAAACTGTCGTATACGATTGCTCCCATATTGATGAACTTAACGGATTCCGCCGTAGTATAACCTGTTCAATTCTACTTAGTGCAAGAAAAAAGACAGTGGTCAACACAAGTTATCGAGGGCACCCTCGGGATCAGTCGGGACGGCAAGGTTTGGTTGAGAGGACTGTGAAAAGAATTTCTTCAAAAAACATTTGCATTGGAGAAGTAACATGTGTTTACATAGTAAAGATTCAGTTGATGCGCCACAGGGAAAGCGTAAATCTAACAGAAAAGGCAAAAATAGGATAAAATACGGATGATATACCTTTTCCACAGTATTTAATTTCGCGATTTTGGTAAGACCGTTTCGTGGGGTTTTATTTTCGCGATTTCAACAGCCAAACTTGGAACAAGGGCATGAAGTTTCGCGACTTCGCATTCTCGACTTCATTTTAGTTTTCAAAAGTTTGAATTTATTGAAAATTTCTAGATAAACTGGAACAATACAAGCAATGTGTGAAATCTTCGCAAATTAACGTTATTCCACAACTGAGGATACGAAATGAAACGCAGCCGGGGGCGTATATTACGTAGCGTGAGACAGTTTGAAGGTTTAAACACTCGGTGAAGAAATGTTGTAGCGCCAAAGGTGGCCCAATCTAGCGGGGTTAGGGGGCATGCTCCCCCAGAAATTTTCTTAATTTAGGGTCTCGGAAATCGCCGTTTCAATCGTTTTCCGCAGGGCATTTTCAATGAATTTATATGCAGGAAAATGCAATAGTTAGTTGTTTATTTTACCCATCTCTAGTTTACTCTGTTTACGGGAAAAATAGGGCAAATGACGCTATTAGGATTTTGGAATAATAAAATATAAAGAAACAGTACTAACACAACTGGACGCCAATATAGTGCGAAAAAAATGTATCAATCAACCTAATTTAATGATAAAAATTTTTTTTTAGGAAATAAAATTTTTTCCATTTTTCAGCCGGGGTCATGTGCGTATATGGACCAGTGGACGCCACGCTCCTGGTAGCGGTAAAACCAGTTAACAATTTGTCTATTATTATAGTCCATACATACCCTGTATATGTGGTTGCTATTACATGTTAAAAAAAACTAACACTGAAATTTGTGAAACTGATAAAAGTCTAACTCGTCGAACCCTGAAAGTGTCCTCGGGCGCCTATAAGAAGCTATAGGAATGTCCGCTTACGGGAATGCAAAAATGCAGAGTTTGACTGAGGGGGGGGGTTGTGAAATGGCAGTAAGCAGAACTGTCCGCTTACGAAAATATATACGCGAAGTGAGATTCCACTGTATGCAGTGTAACTGTTGAGAGATGGTGCTCAATGGCCTTTATGATGAGAGGTTATATCTTAGCACTACGATGTTGTCCCGAACGAAAGTGGGTGATATCTCATTTTTTTTTTTTTTTTTTTTAAGAAAGCAAAACAGCAGACTAAGTAGAGAATAGACGGGAAGTGAGGTTGCTGGGGGGGGGGGGGGAGGGTGGGGGGATGGGGGGCAATGGCCTTTTTGATTAAAGGTTAAATATTAGCACTACGATTTTGTCCCGAACGAAAGTGGGTGATTTCTCGTTTTTTTTTTTTTTTTTTTTTCAGTCAAATGTCTGTCCCTCAGTTTGCCGTGCGGCTGGGCGCGCAAAGCGAGAGTTGATTCGATAGTTTTCCAAAAATCTTGAACCGACTAGAATGTCGAAACCGAGCTCCAACGTAGCTTTGAATCAGTGCAGCCGGGCACTTCAAAACTTTCCCTCCACAACCGTACCTCGTCACCGAGATCTTTACTAACTATTAACCGGCTCCCGGGGAAGGGTGGTAAGGGACATCGACTAGCCCTATTCTCTCTCCTTTCCCCATCCCTGTCCTCTTGTGCTTTGTCCCATACCACTCAAGACCGCCTGCTCCAAGCTAACAAAAAACAGCGGTGTCCTCCTGTTGTAAAAAGGGACTTTTAAAACTTGTTCCCCCCCCCCCAACCTAGTGGTGATTTTGTAACAATAAGCTGACTTCCAGTCGATGTCTTTCAAGTTCCATGGCAACAACAAACCTATGAAAAACTAAATACACCACATTTTTGAATATAATTGTACCGCTCTCTCTCCTGTCAATGCCTTTTTAAACATGATTTGTTCACGAGTTTCAAATGAACCACCAATAAGTCATGAAATCCTTGTGCACAAGAAAAAAGCCTTTCGAAAAGCTTTGATTATTTTCACTCTCAATACCTGCGAATACGTTTTCAAAAGTATATGAGAAATTAAAAGCCCTTTTGAAAGCAAACAAATCGTCGCTTTAACTGGTCGACTTCTGAAACTATGGAAGGAAAATTTTTTCGGATGAAGGAAACAAAGTATCGCGGCCAAAACCCCAAAGCAATTCGATCTTGTTTCCTTTGAACAAATTTGCAGCCAACAGAAATATAGCAATGAGCTCCCTGTCAGTTCTACACTGCATGGCGGCCAATAACAAATCGCCAAAATCTCTCGGGCAGGATAAATCTGAGAAATTTATACCACGTACACGCCTCAAGTTTTCGTTTGTAAATTACCATGGACGGTTTTCTACCCTATTTAAAAACAGCCTTTCATCTGATTTTCCTGCTCATTATAATTTGTTTGCCTGGATCGTTTCTAAGCATTCTGTTTTAACAATGCTGCATGGTACAAAACATAATCAAAAGCCGAGAGAGAAACTGAGCCAGCATCCAAATATTCGCGTTGATCAGTTCTTAACTAGAGGCACTCCACTAAAGGTGGCTGGTTTATTGAGACTGACAGCAAAGCCCAAGGCACATCTTGAGAGAAATAAGTCACATTAAGAAGTTCTAAGCTGTGTCCTATTTAGGTTGTCAAGTATGCTAATTTTCAACACCCTTATTATGTCAAGAGAAAAGAAAACTTCTAAAAAAGGCAAACAACGACTGTCAATTGGTATTCAACTCTCGGCTGCCTGTGACCCTTTAAATGATAATAAAAAAATTAATATCGAAGCTCAGACTACGGCGATTTTCGCGATAGATCAAAGAAGTTCCAATATCATATAAGTGGAAAAAAAGCTAAAAATTCTGAGAAAAAAATAGTTAAGTTGTGAATTGTTATCAATGATCAGTAATGACATACGGTACTCGCTTCATGAACAACTCGCTAACTACCGTCGCGCCTTTCCTAGCTACAAGATGCAGGCTGAATTTTACTGATTATTCTCTTGCATGTCGGCATTTTTAAATCATACTTTAAGTTTTGGCAAGGTCTTTGATTTAACCTATATCGCTACAGACTAACTATTAGCTTTTCAGAGGAAAATTTACTACACATCAGATTATGCTTTTTTACATAAAGGTTCTCATTTGTGACCGGTGGAAACAGCTTTATACTCAGATTTTATTGTTATGTGCAATATCAACATACCTTCCTATAAGCTTGTGCTGATAACTCTGCGATCAATAAGTGCAACCGTGCAGCGCGCGCGCAGCGCATCCGATCACAGGTCGACAGTAATTGAGGTCGTCCCCAACGCTTTACGAGGAAGTAATTTCGCTTG